ATGTTATGTTTTCAGTATTCTAAAAATCCCCATGTACTTCAAGAAAGAATAGTTTTCTATAGATTTGCAGTTTTGAATGTTATGTTTAGAGCTTATAACTATTTTGAGTTAAGTGTATTGTGTTTAGAGCTTATAACTATTTTGAGTTAAGTTTATTGTGAGAAGTGAGTAATGCTCCCACCCCTAGTTTTGGAGATCCAGAACCACTGGTTCAAAAGTGTCCTCCTCTTTCTCCATTGCCTTGTCTTGGGTCTTTCATTGCAAATTAATTGAAATCTCTATACATTCATTTTTTTTCTCCCTCTACTGTTTCATTAATCTGTGCAACAGATTTTCCAAAATACCAAACTGTCCTGATTACCACAGCTTTATATCAGCTCTTAAACTCAGGTGGTAAGTCCTTCACCTTTCTTCATAGCTCTAAAACTTCTTTGTTTGCCCTAGGAGTTTCAGAAACATTTCAGTCATTGTACTTCTCAGTTTTAAAATCTCTGTTGTGTTCTTTTTCTACTTCTTTACTGAGAATGCCTTTCTTTTCATTCGTTTCAAGTGTGTTTCCTTTATCCCATGGAATTTAGTTATAACAGCTGCTTGAAAGACTGACTGATAGTTCTAAAATCTAGGCTGTCTTGGGGTTGTTATCTCTTGATTATCTTTTCCCTTGAGCTTTAGTCACATTTTCCACTTTTTATGTGAAGTGATTTTGGAATGCATCCTAGTCGGCAGATTCTGAGTCTTGTTATGGTCCTCTGAAAAATATTATGGTTTTCTTTGTAGCAATCAGCCTGGCTAGGCTCACTGCATAAAGCCCATTTGTGTCTTCTGTAGGGAGCCATTCATATTTCAGTAAAGACCTCTAAGATCTCTAATGTGTGCATTACAGAGGGCTTAGGCAGAGTCTTGCATGGATTTATATATAGTGTTAGGCATTCTTCTTTTGGAGCTTTCTTTCCTTCAGAACCTCTGTACCAAACTATCTGTCCAGCAGAGACTCTTTTTTATATTCTTTTGGCCAAAAAGATGAGTTTTCTATCACAGTGTTCAAAGCCCACAATGGCATATCTCTCTGCAAAGTGAAGGCTCCTCTTGGGGAAAAGTTTAGACAAGAAAAATAAAGATTACAAGTTGAGTCCTTCTTTAATTTTTGGACTCCCTGAACAATCTGTCTTCTGTTTATTTCCAGAGTTCTCACCCGGCAGTTGATTGTGGGGTTGTTTTTTTGTGATTTAATTAGAGGGAGGATGGGCTTTGGGGTGCTATGGTATCCTACTAGAATTAAACTCTATACTCTTTTGATTACTATTTTTATAAATAATGGGTAGGCACAACTTCTGCAACAGAACCACTTTACTTAAGGATATATTAGTCAAAGTCCAGATGTGTAGTTTATAAATCTATTTCTTTTTTGAAACTGACCTATTTGTTTCTTTCTTTGTTTTAACACAGATTTAAACTTGTTGGATAAGTCTGAGCTATTTAAAGGCCCCTAAATGCACGTCCTTCTTTTTTTCCTCTTAATCTTTTAAAATCTGGTTTATTAGAATGGCTGCTCCATGGAGATGCTTTCACTCCTTCTTTATTAGCTCAGATTTGCTTTCTGAAGATTAAGTGAGTCCTACATGGAAAAGAGTCTACTGCTGCTTTGAATAAGGATCACCATGTTGTATCGTCGGCTGCTTGCTCTGCTTTTCACTTTAGTGGGCAAGTGTGTTCCCCAGGAGGGCCTTACTTTCCCTGTCACAGGTGACTGTGTTTACTGCCACTTATTGTGGGCTCCTTTTTTCCATTAACTCCTTAGCAATAGACTGCAAAATACCTCACAACCAAAGCCTACCTTAAATCTTCATCAGACTATCGGATACCTGCACTCTGCCGCATAACTTCACAATCTGCCTTTTTGCTAGCAGCTGGTTGCATATCAGTGGAGCCTGGTCACCCCTCTGCTCCCTCAACTGCCCGCTGTGTCGGTTGCTTTCTTTGGGGCTTTTCTGCCACTGCTGACTGGGACTTCCTGTGGAAACCTTCTTAGCCACACTGCTATATGCTCATACCTTGAACTGGGGTTAATATTTCCTAAATCTCCTAGCAGAAGTTGTTCACAAACTCTGCATTATACATCAGAGTCACTTGAGGATCTTTTAAAAAGTACTGACTTCTGCCCTTGGGCATTCCCGTGTGACTGGCATAGCATAGACATCACGAGTCGTAAAAGTTCTCCAGGTGATTCTAATGTGCAGCAAGTGTGGGGAATGCCGCTTGAGGAGTAGTCCTTGAGCCATGGGGTTTGCTGTCCAGGTAATAAATGATCCTTCCTCCCAGATCTTGGATGAAAAATTCTGAAGCATTTGAATTATTTATTTCAACCAGTTTAGGCACGTGTATTTAAATTGCTGTTTCCTCCTTCCTTGTTTATCCTTTCCATCCCATTCTCTCTAGCTCCCTGGAATCACTTATAATTAACTACACAAAGATATTGGTCTCGGTGTCTGATTTTATGGAGAATCTGAGCGAGACGGTTTGTACCAGAAATGGTCCTGGGAAGCCCACCATTGTAGTAAAATCCTGAATTAGGAGAACTTGCCGGCCGAAAGTGAAAGGACCACACGGTTGACAAGAACAGTGTTGCTAACACTCTAGTGACCACACAGCCCCATACAGATCGGAATGGTGCGATGGAACATGGAAAGAAGGTCAGGGAGTGGCTTATGTTTCAGATAACACTTAAGCGGTATGCAGATTATGGATCTTAAAGGGATTATGAAGTTAGCTAGCTTTTGTTAATACATATAAAACCTTGTAAAAAGAAACTGATAGATTGAGCTTATCCAGCTATGAACTCAAGGAAAACTGAATATCTGAAACCTCCACTGGAAAGGTTAAGAGACCTGAATTCCTTAAAGCAAAGAGCAGCAAAGCTAAAAGTGAGGATCAGTGGATAACTTTGGAAGTCATCACTCTAAAGTTTGGGTTCTGTCAGAAAAAGACCCAGATTTGGGGGTATGAAATAGGGACATTTGGATAGATAACCTAAGAACTGCTGATTCCCAGATTTTCTGTACTGTCTCAGTTAGGACAAATAGTTTCTTTTAGTTTTCTAGAAATGAGCTATTTTCTTTTGCTTGAAGAACTGTGGTAGCTGCCTGACAAATGATGCCTAGTTGCTCAACATTGGCTTCCTACCTCCTTCCTTGATTCAAGATCATTAACTGGGATCAGATAATAGCACAGCCTAGGAGGAAACAGTATAGTCACTGTAAGAACTGTAAGATCCAGCTAATATGTGCCCAGGGGCACAGGGCAAGCACATGCAGAGATGATCTTGGAGGAACTGCACCCAAGAGAGAATATAAAGCTGGTTAAGGAAGAATGTGTTGGCATGAGAGCAACTCTCCTGTGACTTACAATTTAATGTCTTGGCAAGAACATGTGGATCTGGCCCTAATATGCTGCTAGAATGGCTCCTTGAAGCTCATATACAACAATGGCCTGTCGTTAATGAGGTGGAGATGCTAGAACTGCCCTGCAGAGTATTAAGAAAGGGATTTGAAGGCTTGGAGAGAGAAAAGTTAGATTGGGTTTATTGTGGGAAAGAGGGAACTTACAGCTTCCTGTGCTTCTTGGCAGGGCTGAAGAACCTGCCTTCATTAACACGTTGAGGAATATACTGGTGAGGACTTGCATTTTTAAAAAGAACTCCCTGAAGTCACCCTCTCACATCAACTCATTGGTGAGAGCAGACACTGCCATTTAACTGTGCTCTGAAGTACCAGTAGGATGTACATTCTAGAAGAGCAGAGGATCAAATGGCAGAACTTGCCTGAGTGCAGCAGGGTAATGTGATAGGCAGCAAAGCCAGAATGGCAACTCTGGTGCCCTCACTTGCAGGGATTTGTGACCATGACTAATTGTGCACTTATGGATGAAATAGAGGAGCTGCTGACAAGAGTTTTGCTTAACCTGTACTAAAAAAAAGCAAGAGGTAGCAAACAGAAGGCTGGTATTAGTCCCTGCAGTGAAATGGGAAATTATTGTCCCCTACCAGCTTCCAGGTGTAACAGAGTTCTCATAGTCACAACACATTAATGAAAGCAAAGCTGGGGCCCTGGAGGAAGACTACTGCAATGCCACTATAGTATGAATGATCCTTAGCCCTCAATCTATCCCTGAAAGGACGCTTTACTGCAGCAACTGTATTCTGAGGACAGGGGAATTTGGTACTAAAACCAAAGGATGGATGTATATTTGTTTTTCCTCTCCATCTCTCCCAATAAGCCATGTTACAAACTTGAGCTTTTCCTCCTGATGCCTGAGGTTCTTCTGATGTAGAAATCTTGATTCCCAGGGTAGAGAGGGCACTGCCACTAGAAGACACAGTAAACATAGTGAACTGGAAACCTGAACTTTCATATGGTCACTTTGCCTTTTTAAGCTGGTGGATAAGCTAGCAGAGATAAACCAAGTTACCATGTAGCTACTGGCAGCTACTATGGATCCTGATTACCATGAATAGCTAGAGTAGTTGCACCACAATGGGAGAAGATAGAGGGTAACTGGAACCTTAGAGGTTCACTCCAGTGTCTCTTAGTGCTTATTAAAGTTGGTGATAGCATAAAGGAATGACTGTAGCAACCATGACTAGTAAGGGTAAATGCACTCTATCCCTACAAGATTAGATCCTGACTCACCACCTCTGACCTAATCTTCTTACTGCACTGGCCAAGAGAGGCAAATATAATGGAAGTGATGAAAATCTATCAAGTTATAGCACTAATTGCAGCAGAGACTGTCTCTTCTTTCACTAATCTTTCTGTACCGAGTTTTTGCATAGACTACCAATACCTACCATCTTGGGGTGTAGCTAAAGGAGTTTGCATTGGCTACAGGCAATGCAAATGGTTAAATGGTTGATCAAAATGTATTGTGTTAGGCAGTTTTCCCAGTGCTGAGACGTAATACCCAATACCTATAACTTAGAGGAGGAGAAGCTTATTTTGGCTTACAGGTTCATTTTGGTTCAGTCCGTCGTTGGCAGGCACCAGTGCAGAAATGGCATGGAGGAGGAGGGAGCTGCTCACTCCATGTTGGCCAGGAAGCAGAGAGGAAGAAGAGCTGGGTGCTGAGAACACACCCTTCAAGTCATGCCCTCTTTGACCCACCCTTTGATCAGACCCCATCTCTGACAGGGAATTTTTGGGGGACATTTTAGACCTAAACTATAAGAGTTACCGTTTAGAAAAAGTATATATTGAATTAAAAGCTAAAGTGGCCAATAGACAGGTGTATGCCAGAAACCACACTTTATGCTGAATTTATCTCATATGGTCTTTAAAAATAAAGAACTAGTAACTAATTTAGAACTACAAATTATTACCATAAAATACAGAACCAGAATATCTACAATCATATTTTTTCTATTTCCACGATATTGTTATTTTTGTCATTATTTTTAAAATTGTGAAACCTTCCTAAGACTTAACATTTTCCTCCATTTGCTTTATCTTTCTTCCTTTCTTGCTCCTTATTTTATTTTTTACCTAGACCTATCCCTGATCACTTCAGCATACATTTCCTAAGTTTAAGCACATTAGCATATGTAACTACAGTATTTTGTCACACCTAAAAAAATTAACAATAGTTCTATAATGTCATTTAACAACTGAAGCAATCTAAATTTCCTCAATTGCCCCCGAAGTATAATTTTTTTCTATTAAAGCACATTTAAGCAGAAAAATAAAAGTATTAGTGAAAAGAACACACTCGTCTTTAGCAGTACCTTGTTATATTGTTGGCATGGCGCTCCTGTCCTCTTTTGGTTAAATGGTGGTTCTACCTCCTTTAGGTTCAGGGTTAAGACTTAGGGAAATGTGAAGCAGCGGTGATGCGAGCTTGTCCTCTTTTGTGCAGGGCGTGTTGTGGATGTTAATCATCTCTGTGGAGGGCAATTTAGGGAAATGATGCCCGGTGCCCATCCTCTGACTGCATAAGACGAGGGAGAGATCTGAGTTTTTTTTTTTTTTCTTGTGCTCTGGGCAAATTTGAACACTTATTTCAGATTTACCTTGCTATAACAAATTGGCTTTGCAATTCCTCTCCACAGAGTTTGAATCTCATCAAACTGCCAACAATAACTATTTTATATCTTGAGGCACTTTAGATATTTGCTACATCTCTCTTTATATAAATTGAGTAATATGCAGTTTAACTCCTCATTGCTGACTGCAGGGTTTTAAAGCTTAAGCTATTTTTTTTTCTGTGAAATGCTTTTCTATTTCAGATTTTACTTTTGAAGGTGTCAGTGTCCCCCCCCCCATTCCTTTCCTTTTAGGTGCTTCTTAGAAAGTTTGATTTATTGTCAATTTGTCAGAGTATTTTTCTGAAACCAAGATGATGCTACACATGTCTACCATTATACTGTGTGAATATTACTTTCCCAAGCCTTTTCATAGATTTTTTAAATTAAAAAGCTAGGAAGGCAAGAGATTGCTAGTTTTAGAATCAGGCCATTTGGAGAAAAGTCTACAGGTTAATTTGCAGGGGCAATTAATGCTGTGACTACTGGACTGTGGAAATAAAAGGTACAAATTTGACTGGGTTAAATATTCATGAATGACCTTATAGAATAGCTCTTCCATTTGGCCTTGAAAAGATACATAAAAATTTTCCCCGTACTTTCTTGAAATTAATGAAGTTAAACTCTGATTTTCCTGAGGATCATCCTTCTCCAACCTCTGGGCAAGTCTGTGGTTTCTAAGTAGGACCAGGTTTGGCTAGGGGAGCAACTGAGCCTAAAATAAAACTTCTTATTTGAGATATAGTACTAAGTAGAAAGCTGTGAAAAGGAACAAATAGTAGTAGTAAATATAAGTTTGAAATGTGTGATGTACATTCTATTTTAATATAAGCAAGGGAAACTGTTGGTGTTAACATTTGACAAATTTATGGATTTCAGTGTGTAGTACAAATGGACTATTTATTCTGTAATGTTAGATACATAAATGAAATCTCATCTTTTAAGACATGATCATATTTTAATATTAAAACTCTAAGTGCTACTAAAAAGACTAGCTAATTTATATTGAAAAGGAGCTTCACATTTCAAGAGCTCACCCAGCACTGTAACTTGTTATTCATGAATTGAGCCAGATATGGCATGCAGCTTCATATTATAAGATGAAATATACTACAATACAGCCTTTGGGGATTATCATTCTTATTCTGTAGCATTAGCTCCTGAGAGGCTTCACGTCAGACCATTAAGAGAAATATTTAAACTTTCTTTGAAAAACATAGTCTAAGGGGCTTTAGAACTCTGTTTTTTTCTTTCCTGTTTTACTCAATGAGCAATTGTGAAACATCTCTATTTTCCTGAATAATTCTGGAGAAATGAAACCTCTCCCATCTCCTTTCCTGCTGTCGATTTAATTGGGCGCTAAAGTGTGTGTAAGAACAGTGTATAAAGCACAGTATAAGATGCTTGCTGGTAGTTGTGGCTACAACCTGCACTGCTAGAAGCGCCACACTTCAATAATCCACCCCCCAGCTGATGGGTCTCTGTCCAGCGGTTGTTCTTCAGCAAGTCCTTGTGCCCTGGCTCATTTCTCCCGGGCACTGTATCACTGAACACTCTGCTTTTGCCAGATCACTTCTTCACAGGCTCTTTGGAGAGTTTAAAGGAGCCAAAGGTCCCTTTGTGCCATGAAGACTTTTCATGACAGTAATCTCGCTTTATCAGAAGTGAAATGTCCAGGCCACAGAGGGAGCAGCTTTTGCTGTGACTGCTGCTTAGACAGCGAGCACGACCTCCTTGCGCTGTCAGCCTCGTGTTTGAGGTTGTCAATTCATTCCTCCTGGCGTCTGCCCACTGCCATACTGCCTTGCAGAGGTACACTACAATCTCTGTCTGAGAATGCTGCCGAAAGCCCGCTGAACAAAGCTTCTCAGGTTGTGCTCTCTTTTATTTACATCCTGAGCCTGGCGCTCTCCCTATCCAAGCACCAGTCTTACTTTGTGTTAGAGATGGGAACCTTTGCTTTCCCTAATAACAGGTTTTAAATCAGGAGGAAGAGAACTTTAACTCAGTTGGCATGGAGGGCAGAATATATGGTGCAGGGAATAAACAAAGACCTAGAAGGCTTTGTCAGACTAAAATACTCCCTGTGATTGTTTTTGATAAAATAATAATAATTATACTGATGGCTGATGCTTGCCATTGAAAACCTGTAATTTCTAACAGCTGTGGCAAGACCATGATAGCTACTAGCACATATGAAAAAGTGCATTTCCTTGCACTGAAATCACCCGTATATGTAAATACACTACTTACTTACTGTACCTGTTATTAAATTAGTATTTCACCTAAAATACTATAAAGATTTCTTTATTTAAAAAATTTATCATATGAACTCTTAAGAGATTTGGAAACCAATGAATTCTTTCAGATAAATTAATTAATAGGGCTTATCAGATACAGCTTATTAGATGAAATTGGTTATGCCATAGCTCAGAATTGGTTATGCCATAGACTGTCTATGCCATAGATCACACAGATGTTGCAAAGCTAACATTAATGAAACAGTTATTCAATAGGCAGAAATGTGCCCCTTTCCCAGCATCGGTACCATCAAGAGACCCTGGTAGAAGAGGATTGCATATGTGATTTTCATAGTACGCAACTAGTGCCTCGCCAAATTTGCATTTGCACTGTCATTACAGTTTATCAAAGGGAAGAGAAAATCCTCTGCAGTTCTCTGTTTATTTTAATATTTTGACAGATGTTACAGGAATTAACACCATTTGCTAAATACCTGCTACCTGCAAAGAAGACACTGTGCTTCATATTATAATGAAAGAATAAAGTACCTGCTTTAAGTCACTTCCAATTCATTAAGCAAGGAACACATATCTTTATCTCATGTTAATTGTAAACAAGAATAGCTATGGCTATTCAGAGGTGAAAGTTTTGCACTTTGGTGTGAGAGGAAAAGCTTCAAGTGAAGAAGTGAGGACTGTTGTGAACAGTAGGCTGAGACAACAGATGTGTTTGGTTCCCCTGTGAATCATTTTCCTGCAGTTGTACAGATGTTTAGAACTGGGGTGGGGAAGGGACAGAGCTTCCATGGAAAGAGACCAGCAGTTTTCCAAAGGGAGAAGGAGAAGCAGGTGCTCAGGGCAAATAACTGCATATGTGGACATTACAGATATTGAATGAGTCCCGATTTCAAGAACAAACAAGGAAGAAGGGAAGAAGTTTTAGGCCAGGGGAAGGGCAGGAATGAGCGAGATGATCCAGCTTGTGCAGAATAGATGTCACTCCCTTTGGTGGGGCAATAAAGCACATACTCTATGCCTCATTCCCAGCAGAATCAGGATTGGAGACAAGACTGATTTCATAAGTAAACTTGTATCAGAATGTGATTATGTCCTTTTAATTCTTTCTTTTCCTCCTGGAAATTTTGTTATTATTATAAATGTAAATGTAAGATTATGTGTCAATCAACAAAATGAACTAAATCCTGCCTAAGTTGGTGTGAAATCATAAATATGTTTGAAAACAATACTTCATGCTGGCTTTCCATAAACAATTTGATATCCCTTCACAGCTTGGATGAAGCTGCTTTGCTCAACAGGGAGGAAGAGAAAATACACAACGTTGTGGCCTCTGGTCCTAAAATAAAAATAGTGGTTTGATTAAATGCCAGTTGGTTGTAAATGATAACCCACATAAACAGTGGGAATTCATTACGCTTAAGCAGTGAATTCTAATTTAATTTTATGGCCTTTAGAAAAAAATCCCTTAGGCCAGCCAGCAGAAGCTAAGGAATGGTGGCTGAGCTATGTTGGAGAGATTATAATTCTGTTAGCCGAGCTGTAAGGTGACTTATCTCTGCAGTGTGTAAGTGTCTACCTGGATTCTTACTACTGTTCTTGAGATGGGTCATTTGATGTTTGGTCATGCCACCAAACTAGTTTGATGTACATAGGTTTTCGTTATTTATTATATTGCTGCATTAAAATACCCACCAAACTTATTATTACAACAATAACCACTGTGTTATACATAAAAATTTTGTGTGGCAGGACTTCTTGGCTGGGAGATTCTCTTCCTTCATAAAATGACATGTGGGACTCCCTGGTGATGTTCATCTGCTATCCTTGCCAGACTGATGGGAATAAG